GATGGGCTGGACACATAATGAGGTTTACAGACAACCGCTGGACTAGAGCCATTACTGATTGGATTCCATGGGACATCAAAAGATCACGTGGACGCCCACCTATAAGATGGTCAGACTTCTTCGTCAAGACCCTAAATGATCGGTTTGAGGCTCTGCATGTTCCTAGAACGAACAGATACCATTGGGCTACGCTAGCACGCAGCCGGGATGAATGGAGACGTTACTGGCACCCGCTCGAATAAATCGATGAATAATGGGGATTAAGTGATTAAGTGATTAAGTGATTCAAAAGACATAAGCAGAGGAGAAAGGCAATATTAACTTACAGTGTCCTAGAGGGATCCGACCTTACAAATTGGTTGGGGAAGAGAGCACAAAGAAGTAGTTACAGACAACCAAAGGAATGGGAGTGACTCGGGATCACTGTGATGGGTGCAACCTGATAGACCTAAGCTCCTTGTACTCCAACAGACTATGGTCTAGTCCCCAGAGCAGCCTTTTCTCTGCCTGAGATGTGTATCTTGTTGGAACTCTACTTCGAACACAGCTGCATTTCTGGTCACCAAAGAGCAGCTTGTATAAGCCAGAGTGGAAAGTGAAACTGGGCAGGTTGGCCTGGGCACAGAGTGAGTTCTGTGAAAGTGTGGTGTTCCTTCAGCAGTCTCCACTCTTCCTTAGACTCTGCTCTTTTCAGACACTTTGTTATTGTGTTCCATCCCAGCCTACCTGTTTTCAACTCTCCTTGCTCTGTAATGTACACCAGAGACCTAGTGCTGGGCTTTGAGTCACCTGGTGCTGGTGTACATCTCTGCTGCTTTAATAATCATATAAGAGAAAGTATAGGAACGTCACTTCTCAGGCACTGGACTATCCAAGAAGCTATATGAAGTGAGTGCTTTTCATCACAAGCCTTAAAGACTTCAAACATTGCAGATTTTTATTTATCTCTATTGATTCTGTTGTCAATAAGGTAAAAAAGATGATTTTTAAATGGAGTTGAGAGACAGACTCTTAAACATCAAACATTATAGAATGAAATACCTCTAAATTCCTGTGGCACCTACTTTTTTTCCTCTTTGTTCTTAATAACATACATTTTTTAATTTTTAAAAACTTTCTTATAGTTTAGGGAATAAGGTTCTAACATAGTTTAAGTTTATGGTAGATGTTCAGAGTTACTGCACACCCCCATCACCTATGTACCTCTGGCCCTTCCCTAATCCCTTTGTCACTTCTAGCCTATATTCCTTTCCCCCATTATTTGTTGATTACCAGTTATGGTTCAGGGGGAAAATGTCACCTCCCTTAGCCCCATGTGCTCAAGAATCTCCACCTATGTTCCTATGTTATTTCCTGGCAACCTGTTTAGTCTCCTCATCTCCCCCCAAAACTGGCACTCTCAGGTCTGTATTCTAGTGCTTGAGGTTTAATATTGATTTATATTGTCCATAATCTTGATTTGTTTCTTTGTGTGAGATCATGCTAGAGTTATCCTTCTTCTAGCTTATTTCATTCAGAATGATACCCTGAAATTCCATCCAAATTTCCATGGACTGCATGACTTTTTTTTTGCTTCTAGTGGTTGCATAGTATTCCTTCATGAATATATGTCACAACATTTTTTCCACTCCTCCATAGTTGGCACTTGGGTTATCTCCTGGCTGTTGAACATAGGTGTGCATATACCTTTGCTCCTGCAGGAGTGCCTGTAATGTGAGTCTGGCATACTCAGGAGTCTATGCACCACAGGTATCGACTAAACTTCAGGAGCCCCACATGAAACATCTTCTGGCTATTCAAAGTGAACACTTACACTTTCACCCTTTCCTTATTGTCATTTTAGGTAGTATAAAGTTATCTGAATCATTCATCTCCAGATCGTCCACATTTGCCTCTGGAAGGGGCTGAGAGAAAGTACAGTGGGTAGGGCACTGATCTTGCACACAAATGACCCAAGTTCAGTTCTGGCTGACCAGGATTCAGTCCCCAGAATCACATATAGTCTCCTGAGCACTTTCAGGAGTGAGCCCAGAGCACCACCAGGTAGCACCAAAACAAACAGACAACATTTGCCTCTAGAAAGTAACAGGTTTTGGCACTAGACTCAACAGTGATCATAGGCCACTCCTATCTCAGTTGCTCAGGTGTCATTCCTGGAGGTGATCATGGGAACATGTGCTCCTAGGGATGAAACCTGGGTCTCCTACAAGCATAGCATGCATTCCAGTTTTTTATGCCCTCTCTCCAGCCCCTGTCAGGTAATATTATTTTTATAATTTGTGAGAATTGTCATAGCTTCATTGTATCTCTCCTGACCTCCTGAACCATATGTCTAACTGACCTCTGCTTGAAACTCATAAGGCTCTCAGAATTGTCACTCTCACTGTCCTCCCATTGTTCATTAATTTGCTCAAGCGGGTCCAGTAACATTGTGAGACTTTATGTTACTATGTTTGGCATATCGAATACGTTGGCATATCGAATACGTCACGGGGAGTTTGCCAGGCTCTGCCGTGTGGGCGAGATATTCTCGGAAGCTTGCTGGTCTCTCCGAGAGGGGCGGAGGAATAGAACTCAGGTTGGCCAGGTTGGCTGCGTGCAAGGCAAACGCCCTACCAGCTGTGCTATCACGCTCAGAATTGTATTAACTAAAAAGTATAACACATCTATCTTTGTCCCCACTGAATGCTTGACCTGTCCTTTTAGTAGTGCCCGTGATGGAACCTTATATGACAGCACCCAAGGATCATGCTAGATGCCAGGAAGTTCTTCAGTTCCTCTTCATTCCTTGCTATACAAGCCACTGTGGGTCCTCCATCCTGGTCCTGAGAGCTCTCTAGTGAGGTCTTCCCATTCTGAGACTCCATTGCCAGTCCCCTTGTTCTCATGTTTGCTCACCTGGGTACAGCAAACAGCCACCAAACTATTCCCTCTGCCTCATCTGGCAGATGGGACTCCAGCCCATGTGCTACACTGTTACCAAAACTCAGGTGACACTGCTTAGTTTTCAGACCCTCACCAACATCTTTCTGTCCTAGAGTGCATAGTCCAAGTTTCCTGAAGCCAGTGCCCAGGCCTTTAAAGGCCAGCTTCATTTGCAGCAATATCTTCTCCTCAGTGAACATCATGTGCTTCTCCAAAAGCACGGCTGAGGAGCTTTCAAAGCCCCTATCTCACTAAGATGTCCCACAGCTCTGCCTTTGATCTCTCTCCTTTGATGCCAGCACCTCACTTCTTTTCCCTGGCTAATTGCTATGACCTAGCATTAAATTCAGCTGAGTTCCTCTGGGAAACTTTCTCTGTTCTCTTTCCCCACACCATCAACGGTGGGTGCTATACCTCTATGCTTCCCTTTGTTATCCTATTTTGACCTCAGTATCATTTGAGGTGTAATTTAAATGAAGGCATTGCCAAAATGTGCCAAGGTCCATAGCTAGCTTCACACTGGCCTTTAATCTTATTCTGACAACCACATTTTAGTTATATGTTTCTTAGTTTACGTTATTTAGTTATATGTCACACATTTAGTTATATGTTGCTTTAGACCATGCCTGGCGCAGAGTGACTCTTTTTCTGAATGTTGGTTGAATGTCACTGGGAAAGTAACGAGACTGTTGCTCTGCCTCCAGGAAGGCTGGTGCAATTATGGCAGGTTCTCCACCTGAACTTGTGCTCAAACACTTCCTGTTCTGCTGTTTTGGAGAAACAGTAGCCTTAGGCCCATCCTAACATAGGGTATAGCAAGACTCTTCTCCAAAGGTTTCCCATCTTTCCTGAATGTGTTGCTGGACTGTTTTTGTCAAAAACTTAAGAAAAATCCAATATAGAGGATTTCTTGGTTCGGGAACTAAGGAAAATCCAGAAATGTTGAGAAACAAGGTGGCATTTAGGCAATCCTTAATGAATACTATGCCAGTTTCCTACCATTATTTTGGCTGTTCCCTTATCCACGCATTGGCTTCACCTTCACCACATGGTAGCATAGTGGAAAGAAAGCTGTATCTAAAAATTTTGGGCTCTGTTTCTCAGAAAATTCCAGCATATTTCCTCTCCTAGTTTATACTGAACTGGTCAATATTCCTATTTATGAAACAACACCACTGGGAAAAGCCATGCAGTAACTGGCTTCGGTGTCCTATAATAAGTAGGTATGCCATTTAGTGATCAGACCTTCTCTGAAACAGAGATTCTGGTTGACTTTTTTTTAAAAGAATTTTTTTGAAGTTGGGCTATACCTGACAGTGCTTACAGACTATTTCTGGCTCTTAGTTCATGTGTCACCTCTCTGTTAGTGCTGAGGGGACCATATGAGATGTTGGGGAGGGCTTGAAACCATGGTTGGACGGATGCAAGACAAGCGCCTTAACATCAGTGCTGTCACTCCACCATCTCTGGTCAACTCTGTTAAATTGTGCAGGCTGCCTTTGGAAGAAATGAAAACTCAAGTGAAAACAAAGGTGTAGTAACGTGGTTCATTATCCACTCTCCTAAGTAGTATTTGCTCTGTCTTCAAAATCTGCTTCTGATTTGTGATGGGTTATTGCAGAAATCACTGAATGGAATGACATGCAAAGACAATCCAATTCAGATTCAACTCAGTGATGCATGTGGTTGGGCAGAGTGTAAGTGGTCAGGGCCTGTTAGGATTTCCTGGTGCTTCAGGTATTTCTTTCCTCTTCAGAGTAATAAGGAACGGAGCAAATCTGCTCCTCCCTGAATCTGCTCTCTTATGTGTCCCTAACGCAAGCCCTGGGGCCCTTTTGAAGAATTGTCAAGGTTTATGTGAGGGTGATGAACATATTCCTCCCTGCCCTGATTTTCTTACTCATTTCTTATGTTTCAGGTCTGTAGAGACAGGAGAGAGTTGAAAGCATGTGCTCTCTTGGGAAACAGGGCTGTGGACCGCCCTGACACTTGAAAAGATGATTTGTTCTCACAGGGCTCTGGAAAATTGGGGCTGGTGGATTTCTGACTTCTCTGTTTCTTCTCATCCCGTCTAGATGTTCGACTGGATAAGCCACAACAAGGAGTTATTCCTCCAGAGCCATACGGAGATTGGAGTCAGCTACCAGCACGCCCTAGACCTCCAGACGCAACACAATCACTTTGCCATGAACTCTATGGTGAGTGGAAGGACCATTTTTTGCATTGTATCTAGGAATGAAAAAATGGTGAATTGGGGAGGGAGGTTAGGGAGAGGAGAAGGAATGACAGGAGCAGACTTATAGTCTGAATATGAATGAGGAACTCTGAGTTTGCAGACACTTCAGTATTCCATTTAAAGGTTGGGAAGCATGTAAGATACATGACCAACCAGCTATTCCTGTGGCAGATCATGGCTCCATATCTGCCTCAGGGTCCTACTTCACAGTATGAAAGGGAAGATAATGTGATAGCATTATCTCTGCATATTGTTAGGAGGGATGGTCTCCAGTTCCACCCCACTGACTTAACCAGCCTTCTTCCGTCTCTGCAATGTATGACTTGCTGAGATAAGACCGTGAGGGACCTGAGGCTGGGGCACATTGGTAATGTTTGCATAACTGGGAGATTTAGATTGCTGAGGAGGAGCTTTACACCACAGTTTCTGCCTTCAGATATGTGTAAAGCTGCTTTGGGGAGAATGGAATAGAATTGCATTGTTCTAGGAGACCAGACTGTTGAGGAGATAGATGGTGGTTGATGTGGGGAAACTGGTCGTAAATCGGGGTGCAATGCATTTTGGGTTAGTGAGCTCCCCATGGTGGGGAGCAGACACTGATTTACTAGATCTTTGACCGCAGAGAATTTATCTCTCTGTTTCAGTTTCTTCATCTGAAAATAAAAATGAAAGTTTTCTTACAACCTTGTTGTGAAGCCAAGAAATTAATTATAATGTCATCAGAGTTGTGCCTGGTACAAAATAAGTTATCAGTAAATATAGCATAATGATAATGTTATAAGAGTCTTGTCCAGATAACAAGAAATCTGTTTTCCTGTAAACCTAACACTTTTGGGTACTTTCCTTTCCCATTTGTTCATCTTGAGACTTTATCTGTCCCATAATGCACTGCATTTGAAATGCTTGTAGCCTAAGTATGCCTCAGCTTCTCTCTCTATCCACTGTGTAGCTTTTCCTGCTTGTACTACTGGTCCGAAAGAATAGTTGAATAGTTGCACCATTCCTCATACAGCTGAACACCAAACACACCTCATTATTTTAGCAAGTACTTCTGAGAGTTGGGCAAATGTTAGAGAAACATAAACGTGAGAATTCAGAGGTGAGGAAAGAAGATAATTTCATTTTCTACCAGCTTGTTTTAAATGTGCTATACTCTGGACTTATATACTGAACAATAAATACTTCTAGCTTCAAGAAGTCCATGTCTATTTGGGGTAATAAACTAGAAAATTCTTCTGGTACAGCTTGATATGTGTAATCATAAAACTATGCTGAATTAACCTTAAATTCTCGGTGGTTTAAAACAAAGTTTTTATTTTTTGAAGTATGCATATTTATTACAATGATTTTTTAAAAATTGAAGCAACATGGCTTACAACAGTATTCATTTAGATGCAGTGTTATTATACCATACCCATCACCAAAGTACCAATCTCTTCACCACTGTCTCTCAGTCCCTTTTTGTCTACCCCTTCCAGTCTTCTTAGTGGATTCAGTTCTGTTGATATTTAAGGGTTTGTTTTCATTAATCATTAATCTTGCTTTGTTTCCTTATAAGGGCTGGAGTGATAGCACAGCGGTAGGGCGCCTGCCTTGCACGCAGCCAACATGGCCGACCCGAGTTCGATTCCTCCACCCCTCTCGGAGAGCCCGGCAAGCCACCGAGAGTATTCGATATGCCAGACACAGTAACAACAAAGTCTCCAATGGAGACGTTACTGGGCCCACTCAAGCAAATCAATGATCAACGGGAGGGCCTTTACTTTTACTTTACTTTTACTGTTTCCTTATATTACACATATGGGTAAGATCATACTGCCTTGTCTTTAGCTTTATGTCTTATTGTGCTTAGCATGATACCCTCTATTTCCACGTGAGTTATAGCAAATGTAGAATTCATCTTGCAACTGTGTAGTAATCCATTGCATATATTTATTATGATTGTTATCAATGGCCAGGTAAAGTGGGAAGAAAGGAAGGTAAATTCAAGAAAAGAGTGCTTTTCTTTTCTGCTATATTTTTTTTTGCTAGACCCACCTCAAGCACCTCTTCTTGGGGAAATGTGGGATCAGGACTGGTAAAGTCAGCTACAGGCATCTACACATCGACCCAGGCCTGTGAGGCAGGGGTCAAGCTGCACCTGAAGTCCACTAGCATGGAAGAGGATCCCTACAACCCTTACTTGGAGAGCTGTAAACTCAACTAGAGAAAGGAATTGCTCTTTGTAGGACAGGAAGGTCCTACAAAGTCCTAACCTCGGCACAGATGTTCTGCATCCATTGCCTTTCCCTCACAGAAAAGAATTTCAGGAGAAAGCAAGTTAATGAAGCAAGGTAATTTTTATAGAATGAAACTTGTTTAGAAGGATGTGAGAGAATAGAAAGAGTAAATATTAGTTAAAGGGAGAGCACAGTCTTCTCCAAAGTGGAAACAAGCAAGCAAAGAAACAGCAATAATTAATCAGGACGTGTATTCCAAAGCGAATATGGACTTAAAGAGCAAGCCCCAAGTGTCTTCTAAGAGAAGCTTTTGTACAGTTCTTCCAAATAGGTTTTTCTGAAATTTTTGCATCCGTGGAAGTTAATCTGGGTGCTGACACAGGAAAGCCTTGCACTGACTCTGGTCTTCTCATAATCTCATCTCTTGCATTGTTGATAGTCTCTTCTTGAGCATTGTTGATGATATCTTCATCATTTAATAGGTTCTGTAACTTCTCTTATAAAAGATGCACCTTTCTTTGGGTGAGGCTTTGGTTTTTGCATCTGGATGGAGCCCCAGTTTATCTTCTCCAAAGAGCTCAGTTTGTATCCCAAAATAATGTGGTCTTTCTGCCTTTGAGCTACTTCAGGGCTAGGCTGTCTCTTTGTGTGTATGTGTGTGTGTGTGTGTGTGTGTGTGTTTTGTTTTAGTGGCACATCTGGTGATGCTCAGGGCTTACTTCTGGCTCTACATTCAGGGCTCACTCTTCACAGTGCTTGGGGGACCATATGAGTGCTAGGGATTGAACCTGGTTTGCCTGATTGGCCTTGTGCAAGGCTAAAATCCTACTCACCATATTATTCAGCCCTAGGCAATCTCTCCTTGAGTTTTATTATTTCCCAAAAGTACATTACTAGGGCTTGCCTACTATTTACCTGCAACATGATTTCTTTATCTACACATTTGTTATTTGACACTTGGGTATTTACAGATTTTGGATATTGTAAATAATATTGTGATGAACATAGGTGTGCATATGTTATTTTTTCTTAATACATGCCCATCACTGGCTAGTGGGAACTCTGCTCATCACAGTGTTTTGGGACCCTTACCTGATAGACCGTCCATCAATCAGATGCTGCCAGTGACTTTGGCAGAAAAAGCATGTAAAAAAACATACCTTGGCTTCAGAATACTTTCACCCAGAAGTAATATTTACCACTTTAACTCATATTAAAACAACCCTTGGATTGTTCAAACTGCCTGGATACCAGTACTAGATACACAGTCTTGTCTTATTTTGGGTGTGGAACTGTATGGTACCATCAAGTGTTTGGGAGGGGACAGTGTGATTTTTTTGAGTAGTCCAGTTAACTGGTACAGGGGACATGACAGGGCTAGAGGAGCATCATGAGATTTACATAGTAAAATAACTGTGATTGCTTGGTAGAAGATTATGGGATCAGACAGAGAAAGCATCCACATTGGTTGTATTGTCAGGTGTAGCCAAAACACTGTCTTCTGTCTTCATACAAAAAAAACTCACTCTCTTTCAACTAGTCTCCTGTATTTCTGCCTCATTCCTGGCTCATTTTAGTCTCACAGGATCAAGGCAATTGATCACAAGTGATTAAGAATATGAGCTCAAATTTAGTCAACTTTGATTATTTGTGTGCCTTGTGAATTTCCCTTCATGAATTTACAAATGCAAAGCCAGTCTTCAAGTTACCAAACTGCCTGGCCCTCAGGCTGACAAATTCATTTTAATAAGATACAAAGATAAACATAATTAAGGAGGCAAGTGCCTCCAAGTCCCTCAAAACAATAAACTACAAAACTAAATAGAAAGAGGATTTGCTTTGAATGAGCTACATCACTGCTCTTCTTTGTTTAATATGGAATTAATGACACAGCAAAAAAAATTGTTCTTATGACAAAAGACTTTACTATTATACTCTCCATTTTCACGGTTAAATTGAGAGAGAATATTTATTGTGGGGAACTATCTTCTGGAGCTGGGAGAGAGGGAAGCAAAGAGATAATATACAATAGCAAATTAGTGCGTTCCAGCTCATCTAGTGGTCTCCCGACCCTGAGAATGTGTGTAGCATTTGGAGGCCCTTTTAGTCTGATTAAGTTGAATCTCTCTGTTGCAGGGCAAAGCAAGGGAAACCCCAGGATTGTTTGATCAAATTGCCTGGGCACCAATGCATTATAAGCATAGCCCTGTGCCTTTGTTAACCAGGAGGTTTACAGGTTTTTTTTATTAAAAGGAACTTGCACAAGGAGGGATGTCAGAATCCCAAGCTGATGAAAGGAGGGAATTATGGATTCCTTTTTTCCTGGCCTGAATGATGGATGCTGCTGCCAAAAAACAGAAGAATGCTAGCAGCTACCGCGGCAGCCCAGTGATATAGGAATGATGAGTTTCTCTGGGCAGTTGCGGTGTTGGCTGTTTGTAAGTTTATGGAAGCATTTATTTTTCTTTTTCTGAAAATTATGCACACGCCAATACGTATGACCACACATCTTTCCATGTAGAATTGCATGTAGTATATCCTGTTTATGGTGATATCTTTGAATCCTCAGTGGTAGGGCGTTTGCCTTGCATGCAGCTAACATGGCCGACCCGAGTTCGATTCCTCCGCCCCTCTCGGAGAGCCCGGCAAGCCACCGAGAGTATCTCGCCCACACGGCAGAGCCTGGCAAGCTCCCCGTGATGTATTCGATATGCCAAACACAGAAACAGCAAAGTCTCCAATG